ATGGTAGTGTAATCTTAGTCATTAAATAACTTTTCTTTTTTTGTTAACTATGTTCCTACCATTCACTGCCCTTGTCGGGAGAAAATAATATAAAGCCATGGGCATACACGAAAGAATAATAAGAAAACGAAAGTATAACAACCAATTATCGAGTCGAAAAGTCCTATATTCCGGGGCTGAGCTAGAGTGTTGGGAGCGGGTTCGGCCGAACATAGTAACTTTGATTAGAATTTTGTATTTGTCTAAAAAATTCATTGAATATGTATGCATTATTAATATAGAACCCAATAACTTAAAACGATTCACTACTAGAAAACTTCCTAAAACTGTCAGAAATACCTACCGAAATCGGTCGGAAAACTGAAAAAATCGATCCACTTTAATCCGTCGAAATTAGGCTGGTCGGTAATAAATAGTGACCGAAGTCGGTCGCAATTTCTGACTGATTTCGGTCGGTCAATTAAATTTCACAAACGACCCAAAAAGAAAAAATCTGCCGAAAAACAGACCGAAGTCGGTCGGTATTTTGAATTATGCAATTCAAAAATGCACCGTCGGGGAATCAGACCAGGTCTGTACTATCGCATGATACTATTCTACCACTAGATCATTGGTACATTTTGGTTTGAGACTTTTATTTTATTTTATTTTATTTGTACTCTTTAATTGTGTTTTCGCACGAAAATAACCGACTGAAGTCAGTCGATTTTATTAAAAATATAAAATTACCGACCGGAGTCGATCGACTTTTTAAAATGACTGACTGAAATTACCAACTGAAGTTGGTCGATTTCATAAAAAAATTAAAAATTAAAATGTTTTGAAACCGACTTCGGTCGGAGTCGGTCGGTTGGTCGGGGTCGATTTTGGCCGAATTTATAGTAGTGATTAGAATTTCGAACACATAAGCTTGAAACTATAGCTCTGCCTATATAGGGGGTAAACCGCTACCCAATAACGACACTTCATCCCCAAGTCTCCAATACGAGATCTTTAGTTAAAATTTAACGAGTAGTTGTCGCTCCACCCCAATCCTTGTTGGTACAAATATAACTAGTTAGCAACTAATGTAAATGAACCAACTATTTTCAATCCGAATTATTAAATTATATAATTGAATATTTGTTAAAAATATATAGTTATATTAAATAATTATCGTTTAAAATTAGTGAGTAATGAATATACTTTACTCCACATTCATGAGTAATGAATATAATTTTCTTCAACTTTGTTTCTTCTTGCCCCATGAAATTATCATTGATAAGAGATTATTGGTCTTTTTTTTTTTTTTTTTTATTCCTAAAGTTTTAATTACATGGGACCCATTTAATTATCTAATGGTTCTGATTGATTGGGAATGAGCATATTTTGTATGGTATATAGAATTATAACGAAATATTAAAACTATGAAAGTACCAAATGTATTCCACATCCTCTATGTTACATTCTGTTCAAACTCAACCCCATTTAATTGAATGCACGTGGCAAAATCTTTCCTCTCAATATTAATTTAACGACTATTTGCAAGCTATTATTATTTTTTCTCTTTTTCCTTTTGGCAATTTTAAAAAGTAGAAGGAAATTGTCAAAAAAAATGATAAAGAACCAATTAATAATAATAATAATAATAATAATAATAATAATAATAATAATAATAATTAACTTTACAGTGTAACCTGATAAATAATCTTAGCTGATTTGCAAATGCGTGAAATTTTTTATGATCTCTCTTGACCGCTTTTATTTTTAAAAAGGAAGGAAAAAAGCCTTACTATATGTTTAACAGGATCTAAAGTCAGTCGGTTCAGAATAAATATTATTTTATAATATGTATATATATAATATGAGTTGAAAGTAATTTAGTTGAACATGTAGAATCCATTCTAAATCTACCTCTAATACATAATGCGCGATTCGTTCAAATTTATATCATTGTATATTGTTTTATGTAGCTATACTGACCTAAAACTTTTAAAACTCATAAGAATTTGTCTTCAACAATTTCAATAGAGTAATTTTTGCCCAAAGCTGTCATAAAAAAATAGGAAACCTAAAAATGTACAACAATACAAAGCAGAGAGAGCAAAACCATATCCATAGCATTTAATGCTCCAGCCAAACACCACCTATGGACTTGTGTCATTTAGTGTGCCATTGGAGAGGGTGTCACTAAAATTAATAAAATAAATTAATTTATAAAATAAAATATGACACAAAGATATTTGCAACTTCAAGACCTAGTTTTGTTAATCTCCAGTAAAAGCATTAAAAGTGCTGGAGAAGTTACTTCCCAATATGCTTTCAAGGCAATTAATATCATCAATAAATAAATAAGAAGAGTACTAACAGAAATTAATTTAAACCCTTTGATTTAGCCTTGGTTTTGAAAAACCTTTCATGAAGGAATTTTTTAGAGCACCATAATTTAGAGCTATATAAAAAATTGTATCCAAAATAATTAATTTCAAACTATGTATTTTTATAACTTTTTAGATACCTTGACTATTTAATTCAATTGTATAAATCTTTATTTTCAGGTCAAATTCAAAAAAGATTAACTAAAACTTTATTATTTTTAGCCAAATTAAAAAATTTAGCCTAAATAATGTAGTTCTATCCAAATTTTATTATAAATTGTATTCAAAAAAACTTATCTAAAAAGTAACATACTTAAAAAGGTAAAAATATATTTTATTTTTAAAAAAAAGCCACATATACAGAAAAATTCACGTGGCAGACGAGTGCACCCACACTAATTTGCCACATCAACGTCCAGGGGGTAATGCTTTCAAAGTTGG